ATAGATAGATATGTCACTCTTAGGTTGGGAAAATGCAATAAATGTTTTTATGTTTTCTACAAAATAAAAAGTTTTTGGTTATGATGATGAAATATGCCATTTATTAAGTACAAACTAATTTAAAAAGCAATTATTAGGTCAAAATGGTTTCTTTTGTCTATTGAGACACGTTCAATACTTAATTTAAAGCAAAATAAAATCAAATTTTTTAATAATTGTTTATCTTATCAGGTGAGTGTGTGTTAAATGGGCCAAGTGGTCTGAAAAAGTTTGAGAAACACTGAACTAGAGTTAATTTAGAAACTTCTGAAAAGCTCATTAAATCCCCTCACAGTCAAAAACAAACAGAAAGAAATGAAAAGACAAATAACCCACAAACTCACCAGAACTCCACGGGTTGAAGAGGACAGAGAAGTTTGCCAAAACCTTTTCCTTGTCCTTGAGGCTGGCAGACAGCGTGTATTCGCCGATGGGCGTGTCAGCTGGCGGTGAAACGATCAGAACCAGGACTCCGGTTTCAGGAGAAGAGCCCCGTTGAAGCTCTGCCTTCCACACCGCCTTGGCTGAAGCTGAATGCAGTGACCGGCCCGGGACGCCGAAGCGAGACTTCGTCCCCAGATCCTCTGATGGATCATTTCCTGCAAACAGACACAACTGAAGGAGTAAGGCAACAATCCTCTGGATACAAGTATCAATTCAGTTTTTTACAAAAAAATATATAAAACTTTAGAAAATAGAGATGAATTCATAGGCCCCATGCAAATAAAAATTGCTACTAAAGGCGCAGGATGTAACTTTAATGAAAAAAATATGTTTATTATATATTTGTTAAACTGCCTCCATGCTGTGACAGTTTGCTATGATGGGAAAGATAATGAAGTACACATTCCTGCAACATTAAAAAGCAATAGAAAGTTTTATATCTTTGGCATTCTCTCACATTTTGTCACAAACTTCAACATGTTTTATTGAAATTTTTTTTAGATAAACTAATATGGATAAATGAAAACACAAAGGCACTAACAGGCTTTTTATATATAAAACTAAAAGGTTTAACTGATGTTTGGATGGAACTGGAAGACATTTTAAATATCAAAAATAGATAAACAAAACAACAAATAAAATGAATTATGAAATCTCTTTAAACAAAACATCCAGTTTTTGGTAGAAAGAGAATAAAGGTAAATCATGCAAATGGGAATTATTGAGCTTCTTTTAATCTATCATGTGATTAATTGATTTATCACTTATTGCAACAGGCCTAGATAAAAACAATTAATTTAAAGGCACCAACCTGTCACCACAGTCATTATGAGCTGATCAAAGCCCAGGTTGAAAGGTTGAGTCAGTTTGAGGGTGAGTTTGAAGGCTTGGCCTCGTCTGACGATCAGCTCCTTCACGGAGATCTCACTGGTGTGATGCTCATAGTTGTTGGTGTCAGTGTGGAGGTCCACTAATCTAAAAACTACAAAAACAGGACAGGACAAACAAAAAATAAATAAGAATCATAACATTAATGAGAAAGAAACTAGATTTGAACATTCAGAGCAACATAGAGACAGTTACAAAGTCGGCCTTCTATCACATGAAGAACATTTAATGTCTCAGAGAAACTCATCCAGGCATTTCTCTTCAGCCACATTCTGATTAAAACCAGGAAGATAGAGCACATCACCTGTTCTACATCACTCAGTTCTACAGTCCTTCACTGAGAGAACAGACTTTAAAATACTGCTGGTAGTTTATAAATCACTGATGAGCTTAAAGATCTGCTGCTGCTGGATCAACCTTCCAGACCTCTTGGGTTCTGGTTCTGCTCTGCATCCAGAACTAAACCCAAACCTGGAGGAGGAGCATTCAGCAGTATATTAATCAAAAATAATTGCTTTTATAATACTTTGTGATTGTTTTGAACTTGCTTATATGGTTTAGTTTGTTTTACTTTTGTCGCAATGGGTTCCAGATTTCCCTCTTACATATCAGATCTGGATTTTTGTGAAGTTTCACCTGGTCAAATAAAGAAAAGACAGAAAGAAAACTTTCTATGCACCACAAATTTGGATCAAATTTCCAGAAAACTGCAAAACGGCTGAAATACTGAGTTCCTTTAAATCTACACCACACGTGTCAAACTCAAGGAAAGGCAAATTTGGCCCACCATAGCTTTTCATGTGCCCCTCAAGACTCTAAATTACATCAGCAAGTTCTTCCAGTTTGTCACAAATCTGCAAAATGCACACAAAATCAACAAATCTGTAATTTTTTTCTGATTTTACTGCACATTTTCTCAAAACTGGTCAAAAACATTGGGGTTAAGCGACTGCTGAATCAGCCTTACTTGATGTCAAGTTATACTCTGTAATCGATACAGCGAGAAATAAAAAATCTCATTTAACATCATACATGAGCACAAATATTGAATTCCTTACAAATATTTCAAAATTGGCGCCACAAAATGTATAATTTTGATTGCAAAATTTCAGTAAAGCAATCACAAAATCCTGGAGGAACAGCTACTTATTGATGTTTTAATAGTTTAATTGGTTTTATTAATGTATTCTGGCCCTATAAGATGATTCAGATTATTTTTAAAGCGTTATAATTTATGTTGTTCATGCTATTGAGTAATAAACGAGGTCAGAGTCCTTCTCGCGGCTCTGAGCCAGATTGTTCTGAAAACCAATCCTACCTATTCAGGTCAGCTGGATGCAGACGGGGCGTGGTGAGTGTTGAACTCTGTTCTGTCAAAAGTCTGCTGACATACATTGACAGCAGAAACTGGGTGTGTTGGTTGCTTAATTTACTCATCCCAGCCTGTGTGTGAACGGGGCATGCCAAAACAGGAGAGTACAATGAAACACACCCTTTCCTTAACCTCTGCAGCAACACCCTCAAGAGTTGTGCAAACACTGCAGAAATCCACAAACCTCATGCAAAGAAAGCTGGATAAAGAACTGCAAGTAAATAAATCCAACCACAAAAACTGATTGAGCAACATCTGAACATGGATTTTGCCCCAGAAAAGAACAACGAAGAGAAAGTTTGGGTTAAATGAATCAATAATTACCTGTCAATTATTGTGTGACTATGAATGAGTGTGTAACGAAAGTGAGCTACAGGTAAGCTTATCAAATTGTTGTATTTAGGTTGTGATTCCAGTCCTTCTAATTCATTTACTGTTTCTGGCTTTTTAAAAAAGAGCAACACCTACACAGGTAACCGATTCTCTGGAGAACTAAATGTTTTTATTTAGTTAGAAAATCCTGGCTAAAAACATCCAAAATCTGTTGCAGCTGCTGGATGTTGTGAAGCAGATTCCCTCATTAAACGCAGGTAAGAATCTCTTCAGAAGCATAAACCTCCAGGCGTGTGTTAACATGAAGCTCAAAGGAAATGTCAACAGCCACAAGCCGAGAAAAGAAACAGCATCTCTCTAATTACCTGGCACTGATTATTTTACAAGCAGTTTTAATAATGACAAGTTCACTGTGTGGTCAAGTTGTGTAAGAAAAAAAAAAATTCTTTGGAGATTTCAAGTCGACAGCAGGACAGGTATGAAAATATTTTAAAAAATTTCTCCAAAATCTGCCCATCTAAGCTGTCTGCCAGAACTTTTGGGGAAATATTCTCTTTTCCAGAACAGCCTGGATTAGAAATGTTGGACCTTAACAGTAAAATGTTTGGAGAAAATTAAACACAACTCACCAAACCATCAGGCGTTTTCTTATTTATCTGTAGGTTTGTGTTTGTATTTGTCCTGGTGTCATGTTTGTTTCTTTGGGTTATTTTCTATTTGTTTAAATTAGATTTCTGCTTCAGTTAGTCTTATTTAATTCTCATCCCTGGCCTCATTTGGTTTTCTTTTCACTTGTGTTGAACAGGGTCTGTTCACATGTGTCAAACCTAAGGCCCGGGGGCCAACCACGGCCCACCATAGCTTTCTGTGTGGCCCACAAGGCTCCAGATGCTAAATCATATCAAGCCATTTTCTGTGACTCTGTGATTGCGTAAATTTACGTAAAATCAACAGATTCCCACATTCCCGTAAGTTTATTGTACATTTTAACTCCCGCCTTATGGCAGTATCTTGTACTTTTACGACACTGATGCCTGAGCCTTACTTGATGTCAAGTTAATGTAATACATAAATGTAAATATTGTAAAATTCCTTAAAAATATTTATAAATTAGCGCCACAAAAGTAGTGATTTTATATGCAAAAAAAAAAAAGAGAAAATCACTAAGTCAATTGTGACATCCTGGAGGGATTGAATAATGTGAGAAGATGTTTAATTTTATGAAGTGCTTACAAAAAGCAGAGACAGATATTTATTAGTATTTTAACAGTTTGTTAATGGGTTTTATCAATACTTTAGAACATTCCTGATATTGATTTGGCCCAAAATGAAGATGAGTTTGAAACGGCTCTTCTGGATGTCTGGTTTTATTTCTCGTTTGCATTTATTCCTGTAGTCCATCCTGTTAACTCAGCTCATGTTTTTCACCTGGTGCCTGATTAGTTTCCGCCTCACCTATCTCACATTGCATTCAAGTTCAATGCTTTTGTCTGGTGCAGGATTTGTGTGTTTTTACATCTGTAGTTTGGTGAACTCATGTTCATGTCAAGTTTAAATAAATCTTCATGATGCCACATCGCCGTTCACATTTTGGCTTTTCCTTTCCTCGACCTTCACCAAACCAGACACTGAACACGGCAGTAGATTCACTGTTTGAACTGCTCAATAACTCTGGATAAAGTTATTTTTCTTTAATTGTAAATAAACACAGCTGAGAGATAGAGTAATGAAAATATTTATCCGTTTATAGATTAATAAAATTAGAGGCAGCTCCAGGTTATTTCATTAGCAGGTGAATCACTTGCTGGATTAATGTTTCATAATCTGTTTTTGTATTCTACAAATCAACACTGTATCAAACTCAAATTACAACATAAAAATGTTTTTTTGTTGGTTTTTTTTTGTAGAAGCCACTACGTTGCTGTTTTATGTTGACATAGTTGCCTGGAAAGTTTAATGTTACACTTCCAAGGTGTGTTCTGTTGTTCTTGGCGGCCGTACATGAGAGGCAGAAACACCTGTCTGCCTCAAAGCTTCTCTACATTCATCTGTAAAGCTCAAGCAATTAAAGACACACATTCAGAGTCACTCAAGTGGAAAAGGAACAAATAAATAACAAGTGTTCACAGTCAGACTCATCTCAGTCTGATACGCGCCCTGCTGAGCTGTAAACCTCTGCAGCTCAGAAATCATAATCATCTTCTCCGCTGCTCGGTCTGCTCTGCCATACTTCTGTTCTCATTCATTGATTTAGATGTTTTATAGCTTCTTCTACTTATAATTATCTATAATTTTAAAATGTAGTGCTTTTTTAGTTCAAGGATCCACATGGAATCCAGTGATTTAATGTAAAATCTGAAATATTTTGGATTTTTTTTAAAAGATGAAGTCTGTTTTTCTGCTAAGTTGCCCTGGGGGAAGTTTGTTTTTATTTATATTAATAAAGAAAGCTGGATGGATTTTGTAAACTTGGGTTATTATTATCATAAAAAAATTTTAAATAGCTAAATATCACAAAAAAGCAAAAATTGAGTTTTCTCATGAGCCAAAATCAATTTACAGAATATATAAGCAACAAAATAGAAGGTGTAGAAAAAAAACCAAGGATGGGAAACTGCATAGTCAGCTTTATTAAATCACCTATTTTGATGTAAAAAAAAAAAATAAAAAATATGCAAAAACATTTTTTTTTCTTTATAATTTCGCTAAGTTGAATTTCAGGAAGAGAATGGAGATAAATGTTGCTTATTATGTCTCCATAGGCTTGGATAGAATCGCACAAACTCTTTGAAAAGAAAAAAAGCTATTTTAAAAAGTGTAAAAAGTTCTGATTTATTCACCAGACTTGTCTTAGCAGCTGGGATATAACAAGGAGAGGATTTTGGTGTAGAAAAAGTTGGGAAAAAGAAAATATGGTATTCTTGTAAATGTTGCCATGCAACCAAGTCCGACACACTACAAACTGACCAAACTAAGCTTTAAGAAACCGAAATGGTCTTTTAATACTGTGAGGCCTCCCACATTAAAGCCTGAAGTCATGAAGCTCTTGAAGTGTCTTAATAACAGCCATTTTTCTTTTAAATCTTGATCCATTCAGTCTGGGTGCAGCTGCTCTTTATATTTTTAAGGATTATGTCCACCTGAGACAAGTTTAAGCATGTTCAATATTTATTGTGCTTTTCAAAAACAGCTTTGTACAGAGGAACTGCAACAAATGTCTCCAGAGTTTTAAAATCTCCAGTGAAAAGATTTACATGCCTTAAACTTAACTACATAGTTTTAGTCTGTGTTCCAAAACAAATAATGAAGTTTTCATACTGCACCTGAGCTGTAGTCAGTAGGCCAGTTGAGACTCATGGCTGCTCCTGTTGTGTTTGTCCTCCTGAGATGATGAGCTGAAAGCGGTCTGGTTGGCACCAAGCGTGTTCTGCCTGATAACTCTGCAGACGTTGCTTTTAAAGTCCTTGTCACGCCCAGCCACATGCCATTTCTTTGAGAAATAGATGGTGCAACCCAGTCATGCATTCCATGGAAATTATCCCTTTTTTCCAAATATAACAACTGCATTAAAGATTTGCTGCTACCCTAAGTTACCAAATATAATTTTTCTGGTCAACAACACGATTTTGCCCTTCACATGACTCTGACTGGTGTTGACACATTAAGCAATAACAGCAAATATTAAACAATGAGCTCTAAAGATTTATTACAGCGTTTGTTTTTTGTTTTTTTGTTTGCTGGGTAAAATTGGTTTCTTGGTTCTCACAGTCGGTCGGATAAAATCCTCAACTAGATGACAGCCAGGAAAACAAAGGATGCAAATAGAGATGTTCTTCCAAGTCTGTGGTATGTCAAACATCAAATTACTCAGAAATAAAACTGAAATGTTATTTCATGCATCGTCAAAGCTCATAAAGCTGCTAACATTTCATAATGTTTAATCTTTTCTCATTTTGCTATCTTAGAAAATGTAGTGAATTATATTGTGATGTTATGATTCTGCACAGTGAATTTAGGCTTCCACCATCTAACAGCCAAAAACTTGGATTAACAGATGGAATAAATACTCAGGTCATTATTCAGCTAAATTTAAAAAGTGCTTATCTAGAAGTCCTTCGGTGGTTTAGTTTGTTTTTTAACTGATTTTTTGGAAAGATGCTGGAGTTTTTTAGGAGTTTTGTTCTGTCTGCATAGAGTGATTAAACCCAATTAATCTCATTATAAATAGAACTACTCTGTGAAGATCAGCTCTATTTAAAATGAGATTTATGTAAAACCTTTTGTCACATTTACCTCTGCAAAGGCTCTGCTTTAACTAGTTACATTTACTCAATTACATATACTTGAGTAACTTTTTTAAAAAGTACTTTTAGGAGTATTTTTACTATGCTGTACTTTTTACTTTTACTCGGGTAATTTTATTATTAAGTATCTCTTCTCCTACTTGAGTATAATTTCTGGATTTTCTACTTACTGAATGAAAAACAAACATGAAACATGTTTTAACCAAAAATTCACCAGACACAGACACACCTGCAGTTTCTGTAACAGTTTCTTAAGTTTTTTATTGAAAGTAACTGGTTTGGGGGGAGGGAATAATTTTTTGTTACTTATATGGATTTTTGTCATTTTCGTCCATAAAATACCAACATTTCCACTTAACTTTATAAATTTTCTGTCTGATTATTCATTTTTTATTAAATAATTGTTAATTACTTCTTTCTTTTACTTGAAGTAGTGCTACTCTTACCTGAGTACGTACGAATGTTATGCGTCTAAACCAGAAGCTCTCCATTGAACAAAGTTTGTTATCTTATCTAACCTAACATCATGGCAGAAATGCATTTTCTCCGTCTGGTTTCTACATTCAGCCAGATAACGTGAGGAGCTCCATCATTCCAGAATAAAGTTAATCAGTTAGAAGTGCTTCAAACATCTTACTGGAACCTTTCCTGGAGATGTTTTGTTGGACGTAAAGGGGAAATGTGATGAGTGATGTGAGAAAATGTGTCAGTTCTCTTACAGTGAGTCAAACCCATTAGCCGAAGCCAGATTTTGTGAGAGCGCATTATTTTTCTCTAATTTCTGACAAGCAGTTGAGGGAGGCTGAAATTGGGTGGAGTCACATTTTTGAGAGTGTTTTCTTTTCTCTCAAAAATGTATTAGTCAAAAAGTGACTGTCATGATTAAAGCCCTTGGCGTGGACAAAGAGGGAAAGAAAGCCATCTTGAGAACAATCAAGACGTAAGTACTTACATTCCTATTCTGCCTAATTATAATCCATCCTATTTGTTTTCACAGTCTGTTGGTAGTGTGTGGCTACTAAGAGACTAAATATAAATCTGTTGCAATCTTAATTAATCCAAGAAAAATAATTACATTTATTGTGTAATTGTAGTTAATTTAAAATAATTGATGTTTCTTTTCAGTCCAATGATTCATTTTTCTGAAAATTAGAGCTGTTGTCCCAGAGATCAACAGGGAAGAAGTTATTTTTTCTTAAATTAAAATGTTTCACAGCATTAATTGTAGATGTAGATATTTGCTCATGCAGATGAGCATATAGTTGAGGAGAAGCGGAAAAGAAATGGGTGTGATTCCCCGTATACAAGCTGTGAAATAAGAAGCAGTTAAGTGGGAGTGGCTGAGGTGTGGCATTTCCCCCCAAACTTTCATTATTTCATCATATCACCTCCACATGAATATGTTCTCACACATGAAAAAGAACCGTGATCATACCAGGAAACGTCCCACAGAGGCAACTGAGGCAAACAAACAGACACACGTTTGCGTGACTATCTTTGCGGGGACTTTCCATCGACTTCCATTCATTTCTACAGCCTAAACCTAAATCTAACCCTACCCCTAACTAACCCTAACGCTAACCAAAACTCAATTGGTTAGTCCTAAATCTGACCCCTGACCCAAAAACAGTGTTTCCCCTTGTGGGGTACAGGCTTCAGTCCCACAAGTAACAGTGGGTCCCCACAACGTAGTATATGTCAGGAAGATGGTCCCCACAAAGTATTACAAACAAACAAACAAACACACACACACACACACACACACACATTAGTTTGTATTTCTGCCCATGTTAGGACTTTGAACGGTCGTCCATCCAAACCGTATATATTTTCCACAATCTTGCTGCCCTTTTATAGCAAATCAAGTATAACCTTCAATTATTATAAAAATGCTGTATACATCAAACATGACTTAAAAGAAATTTGACTTTGTGAATGCTAAGGCTAGTTAGTATAGCTACAGATGACGATGGATAAACAGTTATTTATTTCTCCACCATTAGCACATTTAGCAGCACATACACGAGCTGTGATGACAGCACTAAGACCCATGTCCTGGCTCTGATTGGTTGTTTTTGGTGGTTTTTGGTCGATGCATTTCTTCAGATGACAATATCAGCTGAGATCCTTTCATAGATCATCTGTCTCGTAACATACCGTCAGCACATGGTATCAATTTTAATAAATATTTTAAAAAACAATTTTTAAAAAATGTTAACCTTCATTATAATATTTTAGTGACATATGGTCGATTGAGACTCTTTCAGCGCTGAAAGTTGATAAAATAAGTAAAGTCTGAATGCTTTTCTTGGCTGATTTTATGCTCCGTGTGTCAATACAAATTATGATTCATCGATTGAGACTCTCATTCTCAACAGGTCTTTTGAAATAAAGGAATTATCTCCTCAGATTCTCATTAACTTCTGAAGGAGCTTCCTGATGATACATAAAATGAAATGATGCAAATCTGAGCAGGAAACAAATTAAAACAATCAAAACTTTTACCCTCAAGGACCAGAACTGGCCAGTTTTATAAGAGATTGTCATTGGTGTGATTTTAAGGCTTACAGATAGATTTGATAACGCCTGCTATTGTAAAGTAAAATTTTGGAGATGACTCAAGTTACCTGATTTTCACTCTGGAACAAATTACTTCCTCAACAGCATTTTGGAGAAGCAGAAGACAAAGGAAAGGTGGATGAAGATGATTCAGTTACAAAAGTGCATTGAATCCCGTCAGTGAGATAAACAACTACAATTAGAGCAGCACAACTTGTCACACTATTATTCCACCTCATTGTTTTCAGACCTCTTTCAAACACTTTTCACATTTCACACATTGTGAAACACTTTCACTGAGGAACAGTTTCAAAAACAAACTTCTTGACGCAAAAAATGTCAGGGAAGTCTTAAAAACAGAGTTTTCTCTTCAGTCATAGGTTCTTTTCAGCAAGTCATGCCTGAATACACAACAAAAGGACAAAATTCAAACATTTAACAAAAGTTCAGCTGTGAAATAACTGGACAAACAAATCTTACTGCCCTAAGTGTCGTTTTTGCCCTCACTTCAGATAAAGAAAATTTGTTCAGAGTAACAAAAACTACAAGAATGAAATTATTATTTTGACAATATCTAATCAAGGTTATTAATTTTGTTTTAAACTTGTCTTTATATTTTAAAACATTACCCAGTTTTCAGCATTGAGGTTTTTAGCCACTATGGGGGGTCTGAAGAGGCAAATGCAGCTCCGGAGTCGCATGTTTTATTGGTTTCCTTCTATTCATATGCTCTGTTTTACCTGTTTACTCTGGTAAATTTAATGTAATTTTGTAAAAATAAAAATCAATCAATCAATCAATCAATCAATCAATAAATGATCCTCCTGTCCTTGTAGAGCATTTGGAATGATCTTGTCATTTTTTACTAAATGTAAGAGAAAGTCTGCAGTTGGTGTAGCTATCACCAGTTCCTTTACCTGTGACCAACAAGTGTGAGATAGTTATGACTTGCATATTTTATACCTTATTAATAAGGATTATGGGTCTTTAATGACAGTCTGGGGCGTTGTCCACCTGCTGTGCCTCCCCTTCGAACAAAAATATTAACACTTTTGTTTTTAGTCCCATTTTTCATGAGCTGAACTCAAAGATCTTCAGCGATCTTTTATTGTGGCACACCTGTGCAATAATCATGCTGTCTAATCAGCATCTTGATATGCCTCACCGTGATGTGGAAAGGCTCACTATCACAGATTTAGACAGATTTGTGAACAATATTTCAGAGAAATTATTATTTTGTTTATACAAAAATGTTTAGATATTTGAGTTCAGCTCATAAAAAATGGGAGCAAAAGCAAAAGTTGCATGTGAAGTCAGTTCAGAATAAGAGGAAGGGAAGAAAAAAGAAAGAAAGCGAGAAGAAGGAGGAAAAAAGGACAAAGAATAAAGTCATGATTCACTAAGTGTAAAGAATGTAAAATCATAAGAAAACATGGTGGAACAGTGATTGTATTACACAGACCATAAAGAGGGACGGACAATGACGGGACAATTATTAGCGGCAGACGGTAACGCCAAACAAACGGAGTTTGGTGTCACTTTTGAACGGTGATCTGCTCGTTTGTCGGACCTGTGAGGAG